CACACACACACACACACACACACACACACACACACCCCAAATCTCCATCCCTAACTGGTGCTCGTGATGTGCCCCAACATAGACCTGACAGATGTCCATGATCCACTCATCCTGGAGAATCTCTGTGTGAAGAACCTGGTCACATTTCACATTCCCCCCCTGAATTGACAATGGGATGGGGGGAGGGAGAGGGGGAGGTAGGAAGACACTTTGTGGCCAGCTGTGCCCTTGGAATACCTGTGTGTGAAGAACTGGGTACAGAGTTCCTTGACCTTGGCCATGGGCTCTCGGGCACCCACAGGTGCGTAGCCAGAAGCTTCTCTGCGTGCTCTGTCACCAGGAATGAGTGCCTGCCAGGCCGTGAGTGACTCAACCCCATCCATTTTCATTCATAACTTTGCTCTGAGGGTCTTCACCTTGCTCCTATCACTGCCTCGTCCTTAGCTTTTGTGTGGACAACAAAGACTGGGCTGCTGTAATTACCGCGGGTTGTAGTCTTGTCCTGTGACTGCTCTGACTTCACAGGAGGACATAGTGCCCTGCCCACACTCTCTTAGGAGGGGTACGCACTTTGCCGTAGGAGCTCCTGAGAGCAGCAGCCAGACTGTAGGCTCCAATGTGCAATTTTGAGGTTGGACCCTGCAGTCATGGAGCTTGAAGGAAGGTGGAGAAAATAAACAAGAGGCACTGGTTCTAGGGAAGAATTAGGAAACTCATCATTTCCGAGAAAGTTGGAAAGGTTGACTGTTTGAGGCTAATAGGACACTATGGGACCTCAGCCTCTTTATCTGTCAGTGGGGCCAAGAGTGCAACCCCTCTCATCTCACTTCGGTGGGTGTGTGCACAAAAAGCCTCAGGCACATATGTATTCTCTGAAGACATGATGTGCAGGATGGATGGAGCACAAAAGGCGTGAACATGCTAGAAGCTGCTCCCCCATATAAGTTTCCTCTTGGCAACTGATTGTCGAGCCTTGGCTTACATTCTTCGTGTGACAGAGATCTCGCCATGTTTCCAGGAAGCCTCTGCCATCCATGGACAGCTCTGCCTGCTAATATACTCTGCTCTACGCTGAGCCAAAATCGTTTTCTAGAAGGAGGCACCTTTCAACCCTCACTCAGTGCTGGGTGTCTCCAGACCGCAGATTCGTTCTGAATGCTCTTCACAAGATCGATTCCAGCCTTTGTTGGGAGTAGGTTGTGGGACTGAGGAAAGGTCTGCTTAAGGGGCTTGCTGTCATTGCTATGGTTCCTCTCTCAGTACTTTGTCTCCTTGGGCTGGGCCTAGTGGCGAGTAGGCTGGGTCAGGGTCCTACCACTGTGGCCACAAATATTTCTGAAGAGCCCACAGTGTGTGGAGTGCTACCCCATGGGAGGGCGCGGATATTTAAGATGGTTCCTCTTCTGTAGGAGTTGAGAGGCCCGTGGGGGCAGGAAGATCATCCAAATAAATAATTAACCACCAGGAGCTGGCCGCCTGCCCCAGGGTGCACGATGATAGTCCGCAACCATAGCTTTGCCACTCTGCAGGGGTCCTGGTGGGTTTGGAAGCATTTTCCAACTGTTTTTCACTCTAATGACAGCAGTGTGGCCCCTTAGAGGTCACCC